TTTTCCCATTTCGTCTTCAGAGGCAACACCACGCAGATATCTGTGAGATATGTCTCTCCTCTGGTCTGCGTGATTCTGCCTCAGGGATTCATTTCCTTCCCAACAGTTCTCATTTTCATCCTCCCCTCTTTCTGGCAATGTCCCTTGGAGTCTTACTTCCTCCTCTTTTCCCTCATCTGTTCGAAGGAGAGAATTAATCATCAATTGAGGATCTAGGGGGTTTGAGAGGGAAAAGGTGCCACAGAAGAAAGTTTATTGCATTCATCAGCCTGCTTTGTATTCAGGAAATCTTTCTCATATTCCTTTCCTAAAATTTCTTGTTGTTGTTTAGTCGTTAAGTCATGTCCGACTGCACACGGCCCCATGGACCAGAGCACGCCAGGTCCTCTCATCTTCCACTGCCTCCCAGAGTTTGGTCCGGGAGGCCAATTTTTAGGTTTAGCTAAATACACAAGAGGTTCACTGGCTAACAAGTGAGTGGTAATACCCTGAAAGACAGGAACAAAATTCAAAAAGATCTTGATAAGCTCAAGCATTGGGCTGAAAACAACAGAATGAACTTTCACAGGGATAAGTGCAAAGTTCTCCACCTAGGGTAAATAAACCCTGCAAATGAACAGTTTCAAAATGGGGGATACATAGCTCAGGAATATTATGAGTGAAAAGGAGTTTGGAATTCTTGTAGATGACTCACTGAATAAGAGGGATGCCAACACGCTGGAGCCAGTTGGGAAGAGAGCAACAAGCATGATCAGGCGATATATACCTTGTAAATCATCCTCAAGGGACTCTAAAAGGAGAATAAAAGCTTCATCTGCATCATCCTCTTTTTGGTTGGCTCCTGCTTGTAGCTGCTTCTGTTCATCCTTAAGAGGAGCCTCTCCTTCCATGGGTGTTGATCAAAGGTTGACCTTCATCTGTCACCTTTAACAACAGAGCAGAAGCTTTTTACAGTCGGGACACCAGCCCTAACCTCAATCATGAGTTCCATTGCCTTCGAAGGGAGAATCTAATTCACCTGTTTATAGATGAAGTCATAATGCTACCACCTTACCTCCATGAAGAGAAAATAATAAGGATGCGGCATTTGGATTTCCTGCACTCCAACTCCGCAACGTATCCCAGAATTCCTCCTCTGGAAGAATGTTGGTAGTCCCAGTCTACAATTTCAGACACCTTGCATTTTCCCTCAAGGCCTAGTCTTCAGAGGCTGCCCAAAAATCTCCAGTTCCTGCCCCCCCCCCCAAATCCCAGGGCAGTGTAGTTTTTGGAAGGCACTGTCTATATAGAAGCGAAAGAATTTTCCTGGTAGAATTTTGGGAGTTGCATTCCAGAAACTCACACTTTCCGACAGCTGTCTATCCTTCCCTTGTGGCAGGGCCTAGCCTTTCAAGGCTGCCGTCTAGGTCTCCTGTTTCTGCCCCACTCGTTGCTGGGCCTTGTAGTTTTTGAGAGGCACTCTCTCTAGAAACAAAAGAGGTACGAGACTACAACACCCAGGATGCATTGCGACAGGAAATAAAGAGTTAGGAACACAACCTAAGTGGCCCTGAAAGAGATGAGGGAAATATACATGTCCGAAAGGATGGGTCTCTGGTCTGGAACTGCGGAATGCTGAGACCTGGAGTCCAAAAAATCCGAAGGACGAATCCCTCAGAAGATAATTCTTAGCTCCGGCTTTTAGAGACAGAATGTTTATCAGTCATCTGGCCAGGATTCCACAGAATTCTGGCCAGATTGAAGCCAGACAGTTTCTCCCTTTCTGCCTTTATTCCCCTATTTTTAAGCAAGTGGTCCCCAAGCTTGGGCCTACAGATGTTCTTGGACTACAACTCCCAGAAGCCTATACCACCACCTCTTCTGGCCAGGATTTCTCGGAGCTGAAGTCCAAGAACATCTGGAGACCCAAGGTTGAAGACCACTGGCTTAAGCCATCTTCTAAGAAACTTCCAATATTCCTTTAACTCACCCAGATGAGCTCAAAAGCCGAGGAAATCTCATAGACCAGCATCCAGTTTGGGGAAAGGAATTGAAAAAGTTCTGAGGCAGTGAGAAAAGTTGCACGAGGAGAAACAGGGCAGAAGCAAACACTGAAATTTTCTTATCTTGTATAGGAAGTCCCTATTTCTTTCTAGAACCTCGTTGCTAATCGCAGTTTCCAGCTTTCCCCCCTTCTTTTTTCATTCCCAGCTTCAACTGAGCCAGCTGCAGAGAATTTGTCTCTAGGATCTGCAAGGCGTTCTGTGATTTGTAGTTGAGAACAAAGCCATCTCAGGCATAGAGGAAGTCTGTGGCTAAAGGGGGAAAAGTTGTTGGGGTCTCATGTGTTTCCCTATAAATTTCCTGTCTTATTCATTAGGTTTCTCAGCTTCTCCATGTATGAGACTGCAGGAAAAAAATTAAGAGCATTGATGTAGACGGTAGCTGAAAACCTTTTTTTGCTTTCCATAGTCAGTTGCATTAGAGTAGACCCATGAATCCCTTGGAGCTGGGTGAGTCAACTCCTCCATAAACTCCATTGTTTCAATTGGGTTGACTTAAGTTGGAAGATCTTAGTAGGCCCATTTTAGTCTATGGAACCTACAGAGGAGTTGACGCACCAAATCTCTGTTGGATCAATGAGCCCACTATAGTGTGGCTTATTAATCAACAACATTTCAGCCACGGATTTGCCAGTTGACCCCCATTACAGTTATGGCCTCTTTCCAAGGGTGACCAGCCAAATATCTAATGCCACTCTATTTCTCGGTCCAGGCCAGGTTTTAGCATGGCCTGCATTCCACCTAGTTCAGCCCATTCCAGAATTCATTGTAGCCGGGCTACTTATGTGGAGTCAGCTGGAGTAGGCAGATCAATTGTGTTCCAGTATGCAGTGAATGATTCTGCCCGTCTGATTCTTGACTTGGTGGAAAGCCTTGGACTGCAGGATGCCAATCCTGTATCCACTCCCATGGATACTGACCTTCATAAACAGAGAGAGTCAAGTGAACTTTTGCCCAACAACCATGGCTACAGAGAAGCCATAGGAGACATGCTGTATCTTGCCACGATGACAAGACCACATCCTGCAGCAGTGGTGGGCATTCTTTGCCGGAGGACTAGCTCACCGACCCAAAGGGAGGCAGTGGAAGGTAGGATTGCCTGGCGTGCTCCGGTCCCTGGGGTCACAAAGAGTCGGACATGACTAACACATTTTTTGGACTCCAGCTCTCAGTTCCGGACCAGTGACCCACCCTTTCGGACATATATATTACCTTCATCTCTTTCAGGGCCACTCAGGTTGTGTTCCTGTTTCCTGTCGCAATGCATCCTGGGTGTTGTAGTCTCGTAGCTCATTTGATTCTAGAGAGAGTGCCTCTCAAAAACTACAGGGCCCAGCGATTGGTGGGGCTGAAACAGGAGACCTAGACTGCAGCCTTGAAAGGCTAGGCCCTGCCACAAGGGAAGGATAGACAGCTGTCTGAAAGTGTCAGTTTGTGGAATGCGACTCCCAAAATTCTTTTGGATCTATATAGACAGTGTCTTCCAAAAATTACAGTGCCCTGGGATTTGGGGGGGGGCAGGAACTGGAGACCTATAGTGCAGCCTCTGAAGACTAGGCCTTGAGGGAAAATACAAGGTGTCTGAAATTGTAAATTGGGACTACCGTAATTCCCCCAGAGGAGGAATTCTGGGATAAATTGGGGAGTTGGAGTGCAGGAAATTCAAATGCCACATCCTTATTATTTTCTCTCAGTGGGGTAAGGTGGTAGCATTCTGACTTCCATCTATAAACAGCTGAATTAAATTCTCCCTTCAAAGGCAATGGAACTTATAAATGAGATTAGGGCTGGTGTCCCGACTGTTACTCTAAAAAGCATCTGCTCTGTTGTTAAAGGTGACAGACGGAACCCATGTAAACCTAAAGATATGGGGATTTCACACCCACGCCCTCCTTTGAGAGTCTGGAGAAGAACAGGCCACCTCACACCCGTTTCATTGTCCTCTCTGTCCGTCAAGGTGTGCCAGGGAAGATTTAATGATTGATTGATCAGGATATTTCCATTCTGCAGTACCCTCCCCACCACACACACACACAATCATCCTAACACTATAAAGCGACGCACAGAGAGCACAGGATGGGCAGCGCTGGATCAAACCACAGACCTTCAAAATAATCGAAGCATTAAGAGAATGCAAAAATAGCCGACAGCCTCCAAATAAGTTCCTCCACGTTGTGGAGAAAGGGTGCGTGGGCGGTCAGGGAAGTGACTCTCTCTCGTTCCTTTTTAAAAAAAAAAACCCACCAGTGCCTCCAGGATTCAAGCGAAGGGTTGTGTGTCTCTGTGTCTCTCCGTTTGTGTGTGAGGGGGGGAGATCATGTGTGCCTGGGGGGGTGTTGCCTTCCTCGTTCTGAA